TGGGAATTTTCCTGGGAAGAAATTCTACTGGCCTATTATAAGTTTATTTTTTCTAATTTCAATATTTTCATTAAATATACCTTAAAAATTATCAGGTTACTTGCTTGTGGAATTGCTTCTTCTTCCATTTAGCAGTTTCCCATTTTGTGCAACCACCTACACCACACAGCTCTAGAACTTCTCATCACCCACACTGGGCAAATCCATACTGCAGTTGGCCATCCTGCAAGTTCTGTCCCTGACCAAGGGGCAGGAGGATGAAAGACAAGGAGATGCAGAACAGGTTAAAATATGGGGCCAGGGGTTCTGATCTCCCTTTGGCAAAGAGCCCTGAGTGACTAGTGCAACTTGGCCTTACTCACTGAGACCCGGGCACAAGAAATGAGAGTGACAGAGGATCCATCTGCCTGCCACCGGTGTGGTTCCCATCCAAGTAAATTGCAGGATGCGAGCTGATTAACTTCCCTGTGCCTGTGTGGACACACACCACGCTGCCTGGCTCTCTCAACATCACAGATGAGAGCCTCAGTCCTCCCAGCCAGTTTTCCTCATCATCCCATACTAGAAAGCAATTTGTTCTCCTAGGCCTGTGATTCTATGATCTCTGTGGTTCCTGGATTATGAGTTACTTCTCCTAAGCTTCTTGTCAATATTGAATGGTGCAGTATGTGTTTGATTCTGACTTATTGCATTTAAAATAATGTCTCAGGGTTCGACCTCAAAGCATGTATCGCATTTTTATTCGTTTTTTAGGTGAAATAATAGTCTACTAGGTGGACATAGCTTATCTATTTTATGTTATTTCCACGTGTTGGGGTGGTTATAACTTCCAATTATCATGCACAGTGTTGTTATAAACACTGGAGGAGAAACATCCATTTCAGTGACCTGCAGTTGCCTATGAATATGATACTTCCATGCGGAACAGGTTGAGGAGCTGCCAAACTCCTTTCATGGTGGGTCACAAATTTAGAAATTTTCATTAGTAATGCACCAAGCTTCTTCTAATGTGCCAGGTTTATTGTCACCCTCTCCAATACCTTGTGTTTGTTCTTGTTTTATTCTTTGTTGTTTTCTGTCTTCATGGTAGGTTTCCTACTGGGTATAGAAATTTATCTTAATGAAGCTCTGAGTTTCACTTCCCGATTACTAGTAAGTAGACAAAGTACTCATGTGCTCAATGGTCATCTGTGCATCTTCTTCAGAAAGATGTGTAATCAAATCAAGTGTTCTTATTTGGACGATGCTGGGCAGGAAACCTAAAACCTCTTGATGGTATCCAGTGTTGTAACACTGAGATTTACCCGGACTTTTCCTCCTTTTATAAAAATTGTTTACATGGTTTTCAAATCACTGTTGCTGTTCAGCAGAAAGAATTATTTAAATACTGTTGATATTTATGCAACATTATTTATGATACTAATTTTTCCAAATACTTTACCAAGTAAATTGTCTTTTCCCTTTATTGAAAGTGTTCATAAATGTATTCTTTAAAAAATTTTGACAAAGTAAAATGCATCTATTTTTTATCTCAAACTTTAATGGCTTATCTATGAGATCTTGGTTAAAAACTATAATGAAGGTTATATATGAAGACTACATGACTCTCATGAGATTCATGTCTTTAATTCTGACAATCAAAACTTTAACTCACTTCATATAACTTAATACTTATGATTATCATAGTTCAAATCTAATGCTTTCCAGGTAGTTCCCAGTTTCTCCAGCATATTAGATGAAAACACTGTGCTTTCCCTACTGCATGGTGTTAGAGCCTTTGTGAAAATAACATGACCATGAGAATGACTTTTCTGGGCTTCACCCTCTGTTCAGTTGGACTCTGTATCTTCCTGTCACTACCACACTCTTGATTATCATTGCTTTGCTGGTGATTTTGAAATAAGGAGTTATACATTTCCCATTTTAGTTCCTGGAAAGATAGATTCATATTTTACACTCCCTTTTGAACATGGGTCAGAACAGAGCCCAGCACAATCAGAGCACCAGGCTTGGTTCCTGGTTGCAGCACAGAACTCTTCAGAAACAGTGACAGTTTGAGGTCTGTCATGGGGTGCAGGGTGCAGGGGCTCAGAGGATTTCTATGGGTAAAGACACTTCAGTGTCAACCTGCTCACTGTCCTTTTCAGGCCCATCAGTGCTGCTGGAGCCCAGAGAGGAAATCACACAGAGTTGTATCAATGACAAGTGGAGCTGAGCTCTAGGTGCCAGAGGAGCCTCGGCCGCAGAGCACCCAGAACTAGCCAATGTGTGCAACCACAGAGAGGAGCCACCTCAGGACCTCACTGTGCTCTGAGCAGTTCTCCAGGAGTGGTCACAGCCTCCCAGTGCAACATACCCAGAGCAAGTGGCAGCGTTTAGGCCTTGTGTGGGGCAGGACCCCATACACTGGGAGTACCAGCGCCATAGTTCTAATTGTTCTGTGCATACTAAATGAAGAGAAAATAAGGTGTTACCTAAATTTTAAAAATGCGATGCGTACAAGTGTATGGGTTTTTCTGTGTTTGCAACTATTGAATTTTTGTCTTCAGTTTAAGAACATTGATCAATAAATCACATGCCCTAAAATGAACATCACCTATGCTGAAAATGGCATTTCTCATATGGTCCCAATTTTACTCACAATGCCCTAAAGTAAATATAGGGTATTAGGACACCTGAATTAGCAGAAAGAATAGAGAACATTTGACATTTTCCCATCTCTTCTTTTTCTTGAGCCATGTCTCAGCCCGCAAAACTCCAGTATCCATGCTAGGACCTAAACAGTTTCTTCCTTGTTCTGAGCTCAGCAAAGCCAAAGCATTATTAAGGAGTCTTCATTGAGACATTCACATGAGGTGGGAATCAAGAGTGCACCCATCTACCCAACGCTTGGGGAAGCCATAGGATTAAGGTCACCAAGTGTCCTTCTGGAGCTGCATGTGACCCCCAGGAGGGCACCAGTGGTGTCTTGGCAGGACTCATTCTCGGGTGAAAGGTGGGTATTGTGCCATCATTTATTCCTTTGCTCCAGTTGCACTTCAGGAGATGAACCAGAATCCTGCATAAGTTAGAAAGTAGTCCACCCCTGAGGTCCATACCTGCCCTTACCTTAAAATTATTACTATTTTTGATTTTGAGACAAGGTCTTCTTTCCTTGTCCTACCTGGCTTGGTGCTTATTATGAGTCTCCTCCATCAATCACCTATGTCTCTGTGAAGACACATGTGTGCCACCTGGATGGGCCATGTCAGTTTCTGGCAATGTTATATTTTGTGCTTTTAGTAGGTGAGTTTATTGATGCTATTTCAGTAAAGAAGCTTGGTGATCGTGTTCCTTACTCCTTTTCGTTTCAGGAGAGAGGTGCTCTGTATAGTATTTTGCCATTAACCTTACTCCGTAAATCCCTGTGTTTTCCTCCCACTGGGGTGAATTCTAAGATGTGGTGGGAATTCTTCAACAGCAGGCAATGGAACTGTTTCTTCTAGGAAGAAATCCACTCATTGATTACACATTTCATCTTGATGGTAAGGTCCAGAACAGCTACATTTCCATGTGTGTCAAACATTCTCTTCGGTCACAGTAAGTGAAGAGCAGTGATGTTGGGCCTCTTATAAAACATATAATATAGTTAGCATGTAAGTGACCAAATTCCCTTATTATTCTTTAACTTACTATATCTTTTACAAAATTATAAAAGCATAAATTAATGGTTAAGCAACAAAACACACCTGGCCTCTTTGGGTCATGGATTGGCCAGCTGCAGGGGATCATCATGGCCTGCCCAGAGTCCTGGCCACAGCAAGCTGGTGAACAGATAAAGTCCACAAAGCCCATACAATGTCATAGGGCTTTGCAGAAATAGAATCAAAAAATGTTTTCTAACATGTTGGTCTGGTGTAGAGAAGTGACGTTCTCAGATTCTACTTCAACAATCTCATCACTGCAGTGGTTGGAGACTCTCCTCTCACTCTCCTTCTTCCCTGCTTATCCCCAGGGGATCTCAGAGCAGGACACATCAGGATTCACCCCAGCACTGTCATCCTTCCTCTCAGTGCACACCTTGGCTAGAGGCAGTGGTGAGACTTCCTAAAGCCAGTAAATGAGCACATGGACTAGTGCCGACCTAGTTCTGAAAAGTGCATTCATATTTTATGAAGTGACTCTCATTCCGTTTTCGCATTTTTCATCTTCCCCTACCTAATAGTTTACTTGTTAAGGAGTTCTTTATCAATTATTTTCAATTGATTAGCTTGGGTTCTCTCTTATATTTATGGAAAATATAAATTTGAATTTTCTCTGTATTTGTACAGGTACTTTTACTTGTTAATTTTTTTAAAAAAAATCTTTTGAGACAGGGTCTGACTGCATAGTTCAAGGCAGAGCTTTACTTTACTAGGTACCCAGACTGGACTGAGACACAAAGACACCCTCCAGTCTCAACCTCCTGAGTCCTGGGGTTTCAAGTGTGTGCCACCATTTCATGCTAGGATTTTTACTTTTCAAGTGAAATGCTTAATCCCTATGTCTAATAATTTTCCCCAAACTTATTTATATGCATGTATAGTTCTCACTTTACTACATAAAAACAGTGTTGCAAAGCAGTCAGTGATGTAGCAGGGATTTCAAGCTTATGGATTTAAATAGCAGATTGTAAAATTTGAAAAAAGCAATTACACATTTTCACAATTTAACTAGAAATATAGAAATATGTTTCTCAAGTAATGCATATGTGATTCATGTTTTAAGATATTTCTCTTATTTCTTTCATGTCTATAGAGGGTGAGTTTATTTCACACCATACCGTGATATATATTAAAACCACCCATTTAAAATCCAAGTCATCTTGTGAATCTGTTATCATCATCTGAAGTTTTACAACATATTTGTTCCGAAATGTAGAGAGATATAGCATTTATATTCTTTCTAAGGAGAGCTCTAACTCCACTTTAGATATTAAATATGAATGCAAAGAGAACACAGAACTCAAGCATCTTTTTTACCTAACTTTTATAATGAAAATTACTTCTCAGCATGCTTTTCATGGCCTTCAGGATATCTTTATTCCTGAAGCCTCAGATGACAGGGCTGAGGGTGGGTGTGAGGATGGTGTAGAATAAGGCCTGGACCTTATTTTGGCCAGAATTGTGGTAGGATTTAGGCCTCACGTATGTGAAAATAAATGGCCCATAGTACATTACAACCACTACCATGTGGAAGGAACAGGTGGAGAAGGGCTTCTTCTGGGCCTCTGATGATTTGGTTTGGAAGACAGTGTGCAAAATTGTGACATAAGATAGAGAAATTATGGAGAAAGGGATGCACAGGAAAATTATTGCATTAAAAATCAACCCCGTGCCCATAGTGTGCTGTGTCCACACAGGACAGCTTCAGCAAGGCAAGGATCTCACAGAAATAGTCATGAATTTCTCTAGGCTCGCAGAAGGGGAAGTGCTGCACATAGGCTGTGTGCACAATGGTGGAGACTCGCTGGGTCTCCACCAGCGAGTACCCTAAAGCTATCATCACACTGACCTTGCCACTCATGAGCATGGCATAGTGCAGGGGGTGGCAGTTGGCCACATAGCAGCCATAGGACATGGCAGTCAGGAGCAGACACTTACCACCTAGCACGGTGAGCGACAGGAAGATCTGGAATCCACAACCTGAAAAGGAGATGGTTCTGCTGCCAAACAGGAAGTTGGTGATCATTTTGAAGATGATGTTGGAAATGTGCAGTATGTCCATGCAGGAGAGATGGGTGAGCAAGAAGTACATGGGGGAACAGAGTCGGGAATCCTTGCAGATGAAGATGGCCAGGAGGGCATTTTCTCTCCTAGTCAGGATAAAAATGATAAACAGAGAGGAGAAGAAGAACAGGCTGTCTTGTGAGGAAGAGAATAGGCCAAAAAGAATGAAGTCACTGCTGGACATCAGAGTCACATAGCTCATCTTAAATTTTTCTGTCTTACCTAAAAATGACAATGTAAGTTGAAACATAAATAAAGAAGAAAAACTAAATATATACCAACTTGGTTTCACAGTAAACTATGAAATGAAATGCGAATCAGAGATACACACATTTTGTAATCACCCTCTAGTGTCTCTCTGCTAATTTTGTGAGTTCCCATGCATTACAGGATGGGTGTGTTTATTCATTTCAGTAACTGGGTGAGATTTTGGCACACTGAGTCTGCTCTTGACTCTACTTTGAGTCTCTGGATCATAATTAATTCTGTAACTTTACTCAAGTGCCATCATTTCTCAGGTGTGACCTGTAGCAAGCCCAGCCTTCCCTCCTTTTAAAATCTGGAACCCCAGATGTCTTAGTTACTTTTTACTCATTGCTGAGACAAAATACCTGAAGCCCAAAGTTGAGAAAGGAAAGGTTTATTTCTTACAGTTTTTAGAGGTTTCAGTCCACATTCAGTTGGCTCCAAGACAGGCGGGCATGGCTGGACCGCCGTTCATGGCAGCTGCAAAGGGCAAGCTCAAACCAGCAAAGAGAAAGACACACCTTCTTCCTGCCATTACATCACATCCTGGCCCCACCCCTATGTGGGTGGAGCACTGACACAATCAACCCAAGCACTAGACAATGAACGAATAACAAATGCACAATTCAAACTCTTGAGGGCTGGGGACACAGACATAAACCATGAAACCAGATTTCCTGGTCCTCCATAACAGGCCCTGTTTTAAATTCTGCCTGGGCCTTCTCACATTTCCTCATGTTAATACAACAGTGTACACTTGCATTCTGCCCTGCCTGGCATGCAAATAATGTGGTGTTTATCAGAATTTCAGTTTTAGCTTCCTATCCAGATCTTGAGTTATGAGTCAAATGTCAACTGTTCTTCCAGATGGACTCAGGTAGAGATTTAATCCTGAAAGAGTTCCACAAAGAATCTTGTACCATCCTTTCATGTACAGAGTTAACTGAGAATCCCAGGTCAGTGTCTCTTTAATGATACTCAGCTCTCCTGTATAGGAGAGACTATGAAGGCCATGCAGAAGGGCCAGAGACTTCAGTTCCCTAGACCTACAATCAACCCTCAGAACCTAACTGAGCATGCAACTCCAGGGTCCACAGTAATAAACATGAGTGGGGTTCACTTTTGTTGTCATTCTCTCCATGATAATTTTGTCTCAATTTTTGTTATCTTTGCACTGTTCACTGGTGGATGCCAAATGCCTACGTCATTACCTGGCTCATAATGGTGGCTTAAACTTTCTTGAAAAATGAAAAAATTAAGTTTATCATACTAGGGATAATTGCCTCTTGATGTGGTTTAGAGACTGCTACTCTTCCCTAACAGCACTACATCCACTATAAAAAGTAAAAAAGCAGTAAATAGTATGAATTAGAGAATTGACTTGTCCTCCATAAATTTTCAAAACTCTTCTTATAAACATTGAATATGTGATTTCTAAGTTTCTGAAATAATAAGTAATTATGTGTTTAGTATAGTGTGTTTAAAATTTCAAATATCTGGTTTTTTTTGTCTGTAAGAAGTTATCTATGTTTACTCAAAATAGACAATGGATCCTTAATAACACATGGCAGTATTTTCTTTTCTCTTATAAAATTAAACTAAAATGCAGTAGTTTTTTATTTATACTTTGATAGTGTCTCTATATGTGTATCTAATTTTTTATGCCTTTGGGTCTGTGTCCTCTTCTTGAAACAAATATTTACTTAGATGCATGTAGAAATAAACATATAAATGTTGAATTTGTGGTATACTAACTAGTATTATACTCATGCCACTGTTTTTAAATTTCTTTGATTGCAATCATATTTCCCTTCTGGATTTTCTGTTTCAACAAATTATTTGCTTTACTTAGTCATTTCAGGTCCATTTAATACTGGATTTCTGATTTTGTCAAGTTCTTTGACTCATTATACTTTTCATTAAATTCTTACTATAAAAATTCATTTGTTTTTATTGGCTCAGTTTTAACAGCATTTCAAGTATTCATCAAATCCACTGTTTCCTTTTATTTTATTGATTTTTACATTTTCATAGACTTCATATTGTCCACATACATTTATTTCTTCTCTGTTGAAAAAGCCCACCATTGGTTTTCTAATTTCCTGTTAGTTTTCTGCCACCCATGCACACTTCCATGAGGCGTCTACGCTTTCTTCACTCCTGCTCTGTAGCTTTGCAATTGTCAGCCATTAAGGATGCGGGATAAACTTCTGCAAAGACACACTTACTACATTGTGCATCCTATGCCAGCCAGCCATTTGTGAGTTTTGGAAAAATGGGGTCAAGAGATGGCTGGATAAGGGAAGGGGAAGCAGATAAATACAAGAAGAATATGTATTATGTATAAAAACCAAGTCCACGCAAGGAAGGTAAAGATTAGGGACTGCAACCGTAACCAAAATTGTGGGATTAAGAAATGAATAGAGAGAGAGGGAAGGAAAGTATTACACAAAGGGGAATTATGATGTGTTATGTACAGGTAGCAACTCCTGGTAAGGAGGTCCCGAGATTACACATTGCAAAAATATACTCATAAAATATTTTCCAGGGTACAAAAGAAATCTAAAGTTACCTCCAATGAGAAATATTCTAGCATTGAGTTTAATTCTTCAAAGTGAACAACATCTGTCATGTAATGTATGCACCACTCTTTCCCAAGATAAATCTTTTTTTTTTTTTAAACCAGGATCTAACTCACAACTCTGTGCTTACAAGGCCAGCACTTATGCTGCTGAGCTAAATCCTCAGCCGCGCTAAGACAAATCTGGTTCCAAATATACTTTGTAAACCACTGAACATAAAATTCCTATTTATTTTAAGGAAACAGGGCTTTTGTTATAGAGAAAAATGACAAAATATAAAAACAGTATACTATGTCTAAATGTAGTTTTTGAGCCATTTGTACCACAGCCCTTTCAGCTAGACATCCATTTTTACGTCTACTATATCACATTCATATAAACTGCTTTAAACAAAATGGTGGCTTCACTGCCTGTATATTATGTCAACTAAGTGGTGACTTCTGCCTCTGTCATTAACCTGCAAGCAACGAACCTGAAAGAATCACCATTACCACGTTCTGTAAACCAGTGAGTCACAGGGCAGTGTGCCTAACTCTCAAATATTTATGCAAGTTTAGTGGAAAGTGAATGAATAATTATTTTTCTAGATATATCACATATCATTCAAATGACTATATTGGTCTCAATTTTTGTGCATGTGTGAAGGAGAGAGACAGACAGATAGACAAACAGAGATGAACAGAGACAGACAGGCAGACACAGTCTCAGACTCTGACTTGGGAGGAAAGCAGAAGGGAGGGCTCTCACCATTACTTAGCAGTCAGCACCAGTAGTTTCCTCAGGCAGTTTCACTGTTGCGGTGCATGGATGAAATGACACAGGACTCAGGGTGTCTTTCCACAAGGGAGTCAGACTCTCTTTCTGGCTGGCACTGTGTTAATGTTTCCTTAACCATCAGCCTGACTTGAATCAGTTCCTAGGTATAGATACAGCCACACCTTGAGATCCTACTGTACCCATTAATCATGGTCTGCACACCCCAACTCTGTCTAGCATGTGGTAGCTATTTGATTAAATATTCTGCATACTTATTAGATATTAAGTCTTAGAGATATCTCATTTTATGGATAAATTAAATTTTGTACATTAAATTTTGCTTTAATTAGATGTTCTAATATGAATCAAACTGCACACTCAAGAAAATTATTTGTTTCCTCTTACATGATTGTATAGTGTATATATAACAGTAAAATTTCTTGAAGATAATTTGAAGTATAACCAAGCAAAGGACAGTAAAGCATAAAATTGACTCTCCTGGAAAAATACTTGTTGGAACATACTTCATATAGCCAACACTGGTGATAGTGAAACTGCTAGAATATCTGCAGTATCTGTAAGTTATGTGTAGATGCTATTTTGGTTTATTTTTGAACTTTCGATAACTTTTCAATATTGATGAATTTTCTGGCACAATCATTACAAGTTGTGCCATAAAATTTCAAGTATTTGGGTGATGAATAATTTATTGAAAATGCTTGCCACAACTGGAAATCAGTCGGTGGCACTGACTTACCTAGAAAAGAGGAAATCAAGCAGCACATGGATATAACGTGGTGTGTGGAATGAGGGCTATGTATTGGTAAAGTGGTTGGTGTGGAAGGTTGGGTAATAATAGGGTAATGGGTGGCCAGCCTGGGAAGCCTGGGAAGCCACTCACAGCTGTGTTTAAGACTAACTTCTCCACAGGGCTGTTCTCATGGAGAGGCAAACCCCTGCTCTGACTCAGAACCAAGCACACAATGAGGCCTCAAGGCACTGACCAAGATGCCTGATGCTACTGGCTGTATTAATCCTTCTCAGCTATGGGGTTCCAGTTAATATTTCTAATTCTTATCACATGCAACTCAGCCTCTATGAGTTAGAAACAATGAAACTTGGGGGACAAGAGAAAAGAACAGAGCTAGACCGAGAAAGAGACTCTGGTGAGTAAAGAATAAACCGAGTGACACAGTGTGTAATCAGGGATCTCTCGGGCTTTCCACTGCCCCAACTGCTCTGACAGGATTATCCAGGGCTCCCAGAAACAACCCCAACCCCACAGAGCTGACCTTGGGTTTTCATCACCCCACTGTGCCCTCACCAGCTGGGTTCCATGCAGGATAGTCTCTGGCTGCACTCACATTGTCCTTCTGCCCCCAGAGCTTCTGACATCTGCACCCCAGGCCCTTCACTGCTGCTAACCTGAGATTTAGAAGGAGGAGAGAGGAGTCTTAGGGACAGGAGCTGAGAGCAGGGCTGGGGAAAGGAGTGAATGGTTTGGGACCCACAGGAAAGGAGGAGGATGGTGTCTACTGGCTGAATTCCCCTGGTCTGTGACTCCTGGGGACAATTCGGCCACCTCTATGTAGGGCAGAAGGATTCAGAAGGACCCAAGTGTGTTCTGAGAAGGATCCAGAAGAAGCTGCTTCTGCCTGACAGTCTCTGAGGAGTCCAGGGTATTCTCAGTGTCACAGGGGAAGGATACAGCATGGGGCTCAGCATTGGTTAGAAAGGTGAGGTCAGAAAAGAGGCATTGGTGTCCCAGAAAATCAATAAAGTTAGTTTCCCACACACATCTCCATCATGTCCTCCTCACATAGTGCATTTCACTCCTGCTCCTCAGAACTCCAAGCTCACTCTATGTGGAGGCACATTTTACTGCCAGTCTCTCTCTAGAACCTTAGTCTAGGGCAGGACTGGGTGGAGCTCCTTTGCAACCAGAAAAGAGAGAGACCAGGGTGTTTCAGGCTGGCAAAAGACTCTATTTGTTTTATAGACTACCTGCTACAGAGGGTCACATAGAAGAGACAGGCTGACTTTCTCAAAGTTATTTTGCCTGAATGCATTATGGTTGTTCACAAGTCAATTAAAGAATCAGCATATAAACTGAAACTTTAAGGGAGTCCAGCAAAAGCATTCAGCTCATTTATTCTTAAACATTTCTCCCAGCTAATTCTTTTTTCTGAATTTTCAATGTCTCCCCTGCATTGCCGTCTCATAGTTATTAGTGACTGAGCTCTAGATTGACCACGTGGGCTTCCAGAGAGGAGCTCAGTTTGCTCAGGGGTCCACACATCCGGGTCTTTTCCTCCACCCGCACATTGCAGATCCTGAAACAGCAAGTACCGGTCCGGCCTGGGCAACAGGCTGCCATGGGCCTTACCTCATAGCCACACTAGGAGCCTCTAAGCTGGCTGTAAACAGTACAGCATCACCTGGACTTGAACAATTCGTGTGCTTAACCTGTGATCTGCACACCCAGTGCCTGGACTGCGCTGTATGCAGTCTGCTCCTGGGAACTAGGGGCTGCCCCTGGAGCACTTCAGGAGCTCAGCCTGTGAAGTCTCATTGTGAGGTTTAGGTCTCATCTGTCTTCCCACTGCTCCCCTGGGAAGCAGGCCTCTGCTGGTGCCTCACAGCTGTGCTGTGAGCCTCTGAGCTGGGTGTGAACAGTGAAGCATCACTTGTCACCTGCGCACTTCCTGCACTAAACCTGCAAATTGCACACCCAGTGCTGGTACTGCACTCTGCAAGGTTCCCAGAGCTCAGTGCTGCCCAGCAGATCTGGCTTGCAGGTGCTCAGCCCGCAAAGCCTCATTTTGAGGTTTAGGTCTCAGCCTTCTTCCAGCTGTCCCCTTGATGAAGACCTTTCAGTCCTCACACTGCTGAGTGTACACCGGTAGTTTAGTCACTGTGTGTGTTCTACACATTTCTTAAATTTCCTTTCATTGCTATCAAAATGAGGTTTGTTTTAGTGCAGTCCTAAAAAGTCATGTTCACATTTCAGTAGGACCATCCCTGGTGCCACCTCTGAACTCTCTTCAGCCCTCCAGAGGGCACCTCTGAAGGAACAGCGCTGAACACACACACCCTCAGCTATGAGAAGGCATCACCCTTCTCCGGTACACACTGGATTGTGCCACGTAACACATATGTGGAAGGGATTCATGTCTGTGACTGTGTGTGTACCTCCGTGCGTGTGTGCATCTCTTTCTACTCACCCTGATCACCCTCCAGGTCCATCATTGCTGGATCTCCTGCCCCCATCCCCTTCCTCTTGTGCTCCACATCTCTCCTCTCACTCTGGGTTGTTCCTTCACCCACGATGACCTCTGCGCTCTCCCACCCTGCTGAATCCCTCTGCTGGCTGAGGGGATGCAGGACAGGTGTCAGAGCTCTGTTGTGATGAGGTCCTGAGAAATCACAGAAAACACAGCCACGTCAGTGAGTCTTCTCCCCAGTCACGTGAGAGAAGTTTGTGTGTTATTAGAAGATTCTGGTATTACTTATCTAAACTTTGATAGAGGGACAATTTAAAAACATTGCCTGTTGATTTCAGGTTTCTAAATAAATGGCAATAAAATAAAATTAATTCTGTGACAGCACAGGATTATTTATTCATTTCTTTTTGAGAGAATCGGTGCCGCACTGTGTGCCTCAGTTTGCTCGTTCCCGTGTAACATATATTCACTTTGTTCTTATCCTGAGTCTTGGTACATGCATAGGTGATAAAATCAGGACAGAGTAACAGGCAAAGCAAGCTGTCCTCCACTGCCAGACCCTTCACAGCTTGGTTCCACCTGGAGCTTCCTCTCATGGCCTGTTAGATTTTTCTTATTGTTTCCTTTTTCCATCATCCTGGGAACCTACATTCATGCACTGCAATGCTGTGTGCAGTTGGGTTATCTACTACTGTAAGAGTTCAATTATAAAAACAGTAAAGACACAGTTAGAAAATGGCAAACTTACAGACATGTTAAATCAAGTTAAAAATCAAATAGTGGCCTTCTGCCTCTGCTCCTGGTGTTTGTCACATAAATGCCCTGCTAAATTCAGTCAGCTGTGACTGTGTGAGTCCTGCTCCTTTTATCCTGATGATGTGCTGAGCCAAATTGAGTGGGTCCAGCTTGTGTTTTCCTCAACTAAAAGAATATGTATTGTTTCCAGGTAGCTTCAAGGACTTTGTTTAGGACAAAGAGGCCCAGCCAAGGACACCTGTAACTTTGCTTGCTCTGCTCAAACCCTCTGCCCTCATCCCTGGATGTTCTTACACTATGGCAAACAATTACTTTTGAATTAATCTACTTAGAATTAGCTTGCCTGACAACATGTGGTTTAATTCAATTCATGCAGCCACTCATGTAAAAACCCACCTGCTTCTTCCTTTTTGCAAACTATTTAAACTGAATTCAAAGGTGACCTGGGCTGGTAATTTGACTCCACCAGCCCAATACTGTAATAAAAAAGTTACTTTATGGTGCAAAGAATCTTTAGGGTCTTTTGTCTGATGGATTTATCCTACCCTAGTCAATAGAAATCCCAGATCTGTGATTATAAAAGTATAATTCAAAAATAGTTTCAAGTGAATTTTATACCCTGGATTTCAGTTTGATATTTATAATTCCTGCTTGCTACCCAAATGATGACTGATATCAGTCATCATTGAAAATGGACTACTTTTACTCAACACTTGAAGCATTATGTCAACTCTTTGAGTTTAGTATTATCATTTATCTAACTTTATTTATTCATGTAAAGAAAGAAAAAACAAAATAGAAAAGAGGTAGAATAATACAGAATTCAAAAAGAGTTGACACTAAGAAATTGCCAGTTGATACATTACATATTGTCATCTTAGGAAAGTTGTTCAATTTGCAAAATCAAAGCATAAAAGGGGGCACACAAACATTGAAAATGCAAAGCATTATGTTCAATGATCCAACAAAAATTTAGTAATGTGATCATTTATCTTACACACTTAACCATACAGTTAAATTTAGTAATGTGGTCATCTATGTTACACACTTATACAGTTAAATCCTTTCCTTCCCTTTCACATTTTCAATATCTATTTTATATTTTGGATCTTACTACTCTTTAAGTTTTCATTATGTTTTACATTACAAAGACAATATGATATTTACTAATCTGAGTCTTATTTGTTTCACTTATGTGGGTAATCTCAAGTTGCCTCCATTTACCTATAAAGGCCTCAAGGTCATCCTTTTTATAGCTGAGTACTATTCCATTATATAAAAATACCACATCTTTTTCATCCACCATGTGGTTGATGGGCATGTTGTTTGTTTCCAAGATTTAGCTATTGCAAATCGTGCTTGTGTAAACATGGGTACACATATATCACTGCGACAAGACTTTTTCTGTTTTTCTGGGAAAATATCCAGGAGGGGGACACCTGGATTAAATGGAGCTTCCAATCCTAGTCTCCTGAGAAAACTCCATACTGATTTCCATAGTGACTGCAACAGTCTATACACCCACCAACAGTGGAGCAGTGTTCTTTTTCCTGAACAATCACCAACATTTGCTATCAGTTGATTTCTTGATAGCAGCCATTCTTTCAGAAGTGAGATGAAATCTCAATGCTGTTTTAATTTGTGTTTCTTGAATTACCAGTGAAGGTACACATTTCTTTATGTATTTATTAACCATTTGTATACTTCGTCTGAGAACTGTGTGTTCATCTCAGATGCCCATTTTTGGAGAGGGTCTTTGAATTTGGGGTCTTGCTGTTTTTCAATTCTTTATAAGTTCTGGATAGAAGTCCTTTCTCTGAGGAATTGTTGGCTAAAATTTATGCCCTTTCTTGGGTTTTCTTTTCACTTTGTTGGTGATTTCTTTCAAAGTGCAGAAACTTATTAGTAATAGTTTAACAATGTAATAGAGATAACAGTTGTTGATTACTTGAAATATTTCCCATGTGGCTTGCATTTTGTTCATGAATTCTCTGCCTATCTCAAGTCTCCAAGAATTTTACCTACCGTGCCTTTCAGTAGATTTAGTGTTTTTGTTTTAATATTTAGAACTTTGATCCATTTGACTTTAGTTTTGTGTATGGTGGTAGAAATGGGTCTAGTTTTAGTCTTCAGCATGTGGAAAGCCCATTTTTCCAAACCATTTATTAAAGAGGCTATCCTTCTTCCAGTGAACATGTTTATCCCCTTTGCCAAATATTAGGTAGCTGCGTGTCTTTGTAATAGTGTTTGCATCTTCTAATCTGTTCCATTGATCCTCAGGTTTATTTCTTTTCCAGCACCATGCTGATTTTATCACTTTGGCTTTGTAGAATAGTTTCAAATCAGGAACAAAGATGCCTCCTGTCTTGCCTTTGTTGCCCAGAATTGCCTTTGCTATTGTAGGTTTCTTCTGTTTCCAAATGAATTTTAGGAATGTTTTCTTTAGATCTGTGAGGTATGTTAATTTTATTTTGATAGGGATTGTGTTAAATCTGTGTAACAGTTTTAGGAGTATGACCATTTTCACAATGTTGGTTTTTTCTAACCAAGAGCAAGGAATATCCTTCCATTTTCTAATATCCTCTTCAATCTCCCATTTTAGAATAGTATAATTTTCAGCATATAGTTCTTTCACATTCTTGGTTAGGTTGATTCCTAAGTACCTCATTTTTTAGATGCTATTGTGAAAGGTGATATTTTCATAATTTCGTATTCAGTGGGTTTTTTGTTTGTGTACAAGAATATTATTGATTTTTGAGTGGTGACTTGGTAGCCAGCTACTCTGTTGAATTTGTTTATTACTTGTAGCAGTCTTTTAATGGAGTTTTTTGGGTTTTCTATGTAAAGTATCACGTCATCTGTAAATAATGTTAATTTAACTTTTTTTCCTATCTTTATTCCTTTTATTTCTTTCTCTTATCTGATTGCTCTGGTTAATATTTCTAGAAATATATTGAATAGGTGTTGTGATAGTGGATATCCTTATCTTGCTCCTGATTTTAGAGTGAAGGCTTTCAGTTTTTGTCCATTTAGTATAATGTTGGCTGTTGGTTTTCCATAGATGACCTTTATGAGATTCAGGTAGATACCATCTATTCCAAGTTTCTGTAGGGTTTTTATCATGAACAGGGGCTAGATTTTATCTAAAGCTATTTCTGCATCTATTGAGATGATCACGTGATTTTTAGCTTTTGACTCTGTTGATGTGATACACTCCATTTTATTGATTTGTGTATGTTAAACCATCCTGCATTCTTGAAGTAAATACCACTTGGTCATGATGTACAATCTCCTTGATGCTTTGCTGCATTCTATTTGTCAATATTTTATTGAGAATTTTTGCTTCAATTTCATTAGTGAGATTGGACTATAGTTCTTCTTTTAGTTGAGTCCTTCTCTGGTTTTGGTATCAGCATGATACTTACCTCCTGGAATGAATTAGGAAGGATTGCTTCTCTTTCAATTTCATTGAAGGGCTTAAGGAGTATTGACCTCATATATTCTCTAAATTTCTTATAGAATTCAGCTGTGGATCCATCAGGACATGAGCTTTTCTTTGTTGGTAAGTTTTTCAAACACATTTTCAATTCTGATAGGTCGTTATTAGGCTACTCAAAGTTGTTTTAGTTTTTTGAATGAGTTTTGGTAGTTCATCTGTTTCTAGAAATCTATTCATTTCCTCTGTGTTTTCCATCCTATGTGAGTAGATATTTTCAAAGTAGCTGTTCATGGTATTTTGGATTTCCATGGGATCTGTAGTCACTCTCCTCTTTTCAGTCTTTATTGCGTGAATCTGAATTTTTCTTTCTTTTTCTTATAAGGTCAGCTATAGGTTTATCAATTTTGTTTATTCTCTCAAAGAAACCCAGCACTTTGATGTGCTAATTCTTTTTAATTTTTTAGTTTCAATTGCATTAATTTCTGTTTCAATCCTTACAATCTCTTCTCTTTTAGAGCGTTAGGTTTGTCTTGCTCTTTCTTTTCTAAAAGCTTGAGAAGTAGCATTAGGTTATTTATTTGTGCTTGTTCCATTTTCTTGATGTGACAATTTACTGCTATCTATTTCATTCTTAGGACTGTTTTCATTGCATCCTACAGGTTATAGTATGTTGTATCTGCATTTTGAATTTGTTGTAGGTACTGTTTTATTTCCTCTTTTATTTCACCTGTAACCCACTGGTTGTTCATATGGCTGTTAAGTTCCATGTGTTTATGTAAGTTTTGCAGTTTTTTTTTTTTTTTTTTGCCATTGCCAATTTCAGTGCACTATGATCAGATATTATGCATGGGATAATTTCATTCTGTTTGCATTTACATAAGAATATTTCATGGGTTAATATATGGTCTATTTTCGAGAATGTCTTATGTGCAGCTGAGAAAAATATTCTGATGTGGTTGGGTAGGACACTCTGTAAACATCCACTAAGTCCATTTACTCACAGACATGGTTCAGTTCTATTATTTCTTAGCTGACACTTTGTCAAGTTGATCTATCTTTCTGTGACACTGGGGTTTAGGGGTCCTTTATAATGGTTTTCTTGTGTATTTGGTTTTTTGTGTCCATTAGTATTTGTCTTATATAGTTGAGTCCTCCTGTATTTGGTGCATATATATTTATATAATAGTTTTTCTTCTTGAATTTTTCCACTAGCAATTATGTAGTCGCCTTCTTCATATCTTTTCATCATTTTACGTTTCAAGTTCACTTTGTCTGCAAACAGACTAGCTACCCATGCTTTTTTCTGGATTCTTCTTGCATGGAATACTGTTTTACATCCATAGGCTTTTAATCTACAAGTTTCCTTTGGAGTTAGATGTGTTTCTTACATACAGAATATTGCAGGGTCCTATTTCTTGATCCATTCTCTCAACCTATTCTTTTGATAGGAAATTTGAAGCAATTTACATTTATAGATATAAATGATATTTACTGGCTCAACTTCGTCATGTTATGTTTCTGTTGTTTGTTTCCTTATTTTCTCCCTTGTTTAATTTCTTTTCTAGCACGGTGGTTTCTTTCTATTGTTGTTCTGGGGATTGTGATCATTTTTACCTCTATCTTGTATGTCTTTCAATACTCTTTCTAGGGTTGGTTTGATGGACATGAATTTCTTCAGTTGTTCTTTGTCAGGGAAGTATCTTGTTTTGCCATGAAATTTGAAAGACACTTTTCCTGGGTACATCAGTCTGGAATGAAGGTTGTTTCATTTTAAGGTTTGAAACGCTTCACTGCAGGCTCATCTTAACTTGAAGGTTTGCACTGAAAACTCTCCTGTGATTCTAATGATCTTGCCTTGATAGGTGAGTTGTGTCTTTTCTCTAACAGCTATTAGTATACTTTTTATGCTGTATATCTGGGATCTTAATTATTATATGCTTGGGTGTACATTTATGTTGGTTATGATTGTTGGGCATTCTATCTGCCTCACTTGTCTGCATATCAGATTTTTCCCCATTTTGGGAAAATTTTCTGCTATTACTTCTGTGAATAGATTACCAGTCTCATTTATGTTGACTATCGCATCTTTGTTGATGCTTAGAAGTCTTATATTGTTTACCTAATTTAAAAATATTCTCTTTTTGTTCATTGAGTTAATTGGTGCAATTTGGGTATACAAAATGACCACATTCATCATAGGCTATTTTTACCTGTATGCAATAAATTGAATCCAATTTTCCCATTGTCCTCCTGTGCCTGCAATCTTAAATCCTTCTTATTTACAAAGCTTTATTTTCATTTTTATCCTTCTTTTGTCACTTTTTAAGTTTCACATTCTTCCCAATCCTCACTTCCTAGCTTCCTTACATTCATAAAAGTTTTTCCCTATTTTTCAATATCTACTATATGTTTGGGTTCTTATTTACATTTTCAGGTTCTCATATCAGAGAGATAATGTAATATTTGCACTTGTTCTTCCAATTTATCTCACTTAAGAGTCAATTTCCACACTCTTAACAACGAATACATCAACTTTATCTTCCCTTATGAATAAGTACTACTCCATTATATTAAAAATACTATTTTCTCCATGCATATGCTTTTGGGCACTTGGGTTGTTTCCAAGATTCAGCTATTACAAACTTTATTACAAACATGAATGAGCACATATCCTTGTGATATGATGTTTTTTAATTCTTTTGGAAAGATACCAAGAAGGGGAGCAAGTTTGTCAAATGTGACCTCTAGTCCTAGTGTTTGAAGAGTTTCCACACTGATTTCCATAGTGATTGCTCATTATGCACTCCCATTAATAGTGGAGAAGTATTCTGTTGGTCCACAAGCTGTTCTGGAATTTGTTACTGTTTGATTTCTTGTTGATCACCATTCTCTCCAGGGTGAGATTGAATGACAGCATTCTTTTAATGTGCATGTCCTGAATTACCAGTGGTATTCAGCATTTTTCATAGATTTACTTCTGTTTCTACATCGTCATCTGAGAAGGGTCTATTTCAGATGCCCATTTTTGGAATGGATTTTTAAATTTGGGAAGATTCTGGGTTTTATATTTAGTTCTTTATATATGCTACATATTAGTCCTCTATCTGAGAAATAACTGGCTCTATTTTCTTGGACTCTGTGGATTTTCCTCCAATCATGTTCTGCTCTAGAAAACCATTTAATTAGATGATATGTCAATTGTTGATTCTATATAGTACTTCCAGAGTGATAAGGGTTTTCTTCTTTAACCCTTTGCCTAGACCTCTATCTTCAAGAATCTGATCTAATGTCTCTTTCAGCAGATTTAATTTTTCTGCTTTAATATTTAGATCTTTGATCCACTTTGATTTTAGTTTAGCATATTGTGATAGACATTGGTCTATCTGTAGTCTTCAGCATGTGGAAAGCCACCTTTTCTAGCACCATGCATTAAAGAGGCTATCTTTCTTCCAAAGAATTTTTTGGCCCCTTTGTCAAAGACAAAGTAGCTGGGTGTCTTAGGATGTGCTTCTGCATTTCCAAATCTGTTCCACTCAACCCCAAGCATTTGTTCTGGCAGTACCAGCTGTGCAGTATAAATTTACATTAGAGGTTGTGATACCTCTGCTTTGCCTTTGTTTGTTGCTCAAAGTTGCTTTTGCCATCTCCAGGTCTTTCCTGATTACAAATTGTAGGAATATTTTCTCTACTTCTGTGAAGTATGCTTGGTATTGTGAGAGATTATAGAAACTCTGCACAAAAATTTTGAGTGTGTGTCTATTTTTACTCTAATGACCTTCCTACACAACAACAAGGGATATCTTTCCATTTTCTAATATCCACTTCAATTTCTTTTTTTTAGAATACCATAGTTTTCAGTGTAGAAATGATTAACTTCTTTTGTGCGATCAATTCCTAAGTATTTCATGTTTTTGGATATTACTACGAAAGGCGTTGTTTCCCTAATTTATCTCTCACTGAGTTTGTTATTTGTGTATAGGAATGATAATGATATTTAAATGTTAACTTTTGATACAGGTATGCAACTAAATTTGTGTACTATGCCTACAAGTCTTGTGGTGAGATTTTTGGGGTTTTCATTGCTATCTTCAAATACAGATTGACTAAATTCTTATCTTTCATATTTTTATCCTTTTATTTTGTTTTTACATTTTTTTGTCTTTTTCCTTTTTATCAGTACCTGGGATCGAATTCACGACTGCCTGCTTACAAGGCAGGCGCTTATGCCACTGAGCTAAATCCCCAGCCCCCTATCCTTTCATTTTGTTATGGATTAAGAACTGGTGGTCAGCTTATTGCCAGATGGATTACATCAGTCTGGCACTGAGTATAGATGCTCCATCCAAGGAAAGTTGCCAGCCTAAATAGGTGGAGAAGGAGAAGGATTTTTTTTATTTAAAAGGAAAAAGAGAAAAACACAGAACAAAACAAAGCAGTATAAGGGTACACGTAATACAGAACTACAAAAAAAAAAAAAGACAGTAAGTAATCACCAGTTAATAGATTACATATTATCATCTTAGAAATAGTTGCTCAAATCACAGTATCAAAGAATACAAACAGTCAGACTGCAAACAGTTGTATTCAATGATCCAACCAAAAACATTAATATGGTCAGCTATTTAACACCCCTAAACACACTTGCTGTTGTATCCTTTAGAGCTCTTTTTTTCCCTCTCTTTTTTACAACAAAATTTACACATTTTGGCTTTTATTTCTCCTTACTTCTTATTACTTTTTTGGGGGGAGAGAATAAAGTCAAATATGGCAAAACAAAGCTGTCAGTCAAAACCAAGGATAGACATAGCACATGATGTAAAACAGAGTACAAGGTTATCAACAATGGTTATCAAAGATGTCTCTTGTTTCCTTAAAAAGAATTGTCTATCTCATTAGATATTATAAGGTTGAACAAAACAGTAGAGAACAAGACCAATAAAACTTAGGCATTGTAAACATTACAGGACATCCAAAGGAGACAATAGTCAAACCAGCATGGGCATCTTAGTGAATCATATTGCCTTCAAAGTAGTTGCCTATACCCTCAAACTTGATACTATCATACAGAATGGAACAGTGTCTAATCAGTCAAAACCAGATCATGGGAGTATTACAGGACTTCAAAACAAGTTAATAGGAAATCAAAATAGTTACTATTATACCTCCTGAAGGATGTTTTTAATGTATTGATGTGTTATTGCATTGTGTTGAGGTATTATGGGTTCTCCTACGAGTTGCTGTTTGAGCCATTAGTTCTCTTGGAGAAGCTTTGGTCTTCACATAGAGTATTTCTTTCTGGCTCTGGAGGGGAAGACATGTGCTGCTTGGTCTCCAGGATGGGCTTGTCAAGCTTGCTTCCTGGCATGTACCCAACTGTGCTTGTCATCAGAGGAGCTTGTGGCCTCTGTGTCCCCGAGGATGGCTGTGGTGCCTTTCAGGACATCCCTGGTCTTTGTTGTGAGTGTGACTTTTTGGCTCCAGCATAGAGACCACATCCCACGAGCACAGATCATTCACCCTGCTGCCATAGACTTTCTGAGTTCTATTGCTGACCTTTGGGCCTTCCTGGCACAGATCCATAAAACAGACTGGTATGAGTCCTTCTTGTGGGCTCTGGACTACCAGTTGGACTCATTGTCATGAGTTCTGGGTTTTCATCTGGACTCATGTGGGACATTGCTGTGGGATTTAGGCCCTTGACTAAATATTCTATGTCTTTTGTGTTGCAGATAGATTTCCTGCATTTTCTTGTGTTAAATCCCAGTGACAATTATAAAAATAGTATTATAAACTCCCTGTCCTGATTCTAATTGTTCTCTATACAACTCCTAACTACAACACATTTATTTCTCTTGTATAAATGTTTCAGCTAATGTTACCACAACTATATTTAATAGGAATGGTGACAGGTGGATGTTCTTTTCTTGTGTTTGATTTTAGAGTAAAAGCTTTGCTTTCAACCATTTAGTATGATGGCTGTTGGTTTGTAGACAGATGTTGTGGTCTGAGTATACAAGCAGAACAATTATCAATAGGACACAAAATTTATAATACTGTTTTATCATGGTTATCCAAATTTAAATATAAGAAAGTTTAGGACATCCATCCGCATCAAAAAAGAACCAGAATATTCAGCCAAGTGCCTGGATCCCACAGAAATGTCCTACATGAGTCCAATTGAAAGCTTAAAGTACTCGACAATGACTCATACATGTCTCCTTTATGGACCTGTGCTGGGAAGATCCAAAGGTTAGCAGGGGAAGCTAGAAAGTCTGTGTCACTGGGGTGAAAGATCTGAGCCAGTAGGTTGAGGGTTCTACAGTGGTGCCAAGAAGCAACACTCAAAATAAGGACCAGGGCTTTCCCAATAAGTACCACAGCCAGCCTCAGTGACAGTGAGGTCCTGAGCTCATCCAACAGTGAGAATAGCCAAATTCACATCAGGAAGTCTGTGTGACAAGCTTCTCCAGGATACTGAACAGCATACAACTGTCCTACCAGAAAATGCTCAAAGGGAGGACCAGAGCTCCCCCAAAGTGAACTGCAGCCACTTTCAGCAACAAAGTTCTGAGCTCTTCTGATGATAATAGCTGAATTCACATGAGGGAAGCCAGTGTGAGAAGCTCTTTGAGGAGGACCAGTGATTGCAGACAACAACATCACTTAGGAGAACCCACAGCACTTTCCTCTTCCTCTCCTTTCTCCTTTTTGTGGTGCTCACTTTGCTCACGTGGGCCATCTGCACTCAGCAGCATGCTGATTCAGCTCATATGGTGTCAAATTGACTACCAGTTTTTAATCCACAATAAAGATGAGTGTAACAGAATAAAATAAATGTAAAGACCTAAACAACCTAAAAAAACTGTCTCTGTATCACTCTCTCAGTTGCTGATACCCTTAGACAGAGACAGACACATGCTCCTACAAGAAAGTGTGTGTGTTTAGCACCTAACCAAGGTATTTGCCTTTTTAGAAATCACATTGTATTCCATTAATTTATACAATTAATATATACTAATAAAGTGATCTCTGACTGAGTAACTATGCTTAGGGAAGTTGATCTCTGCAATTCTGAATTGCCAGTGAAAATAGTTCTTGTACATTCTCTGAGGTGAGAGCTACAAGGGCAAAGCTCTTTAATGACCCTGAAATCACTGTAAACATGCTTATTGTATAGGAAAAAATAATTTCTGAAAAATCTATATGATACATGGAGACAATGGTCTCCATGGTATTATGTATGTATGCTACTCAGCCATACTACTACATACTACAATGGTAGTATGTATGCTACTCAGCCATAAAGGAGGATGAATTTGAATAAATTTGGGGAAAATTGATGAATCTTGAAATCATAATGCTAAGCTGAAATACAGTATGTTAAGAAATGCAGTATGTTACGAATCTCATTATTACACTTACTAAAAAATTCAAAAGGAAAAAGAAAATAAACAGTGACAATAGGAAAGAATATTAGTGGGTACATTTTTGGAGACAGTAAGAGGATATTGGAAAAGTATTTGATAAGTGGGAAGGAAAAATGATCAGTGTGTGTTATGCACAGGTATCAGTTCATCAAGAAGAATGCAGTGACATATACTACAAATATCTACCAGCAAGTTTTAGAATATGGTGTAAATCTACTCCTAAACATGTCAGGGGTTATCAATTCCTATATCTTAATATTAAATGTCAGTAAAAGTATTTTAGAAATGGAATTGTAGGTGCGTAGCAAAAGAAGTGAAGAATGCAACATATTTATGTGATGCACTAGAATAAAATTA